CAAGGATTTATTCTCCAAAACAAAATTACATTTCAACAACATTCTTAACATATGCAGATTGATCGACAGATAAAAGTCTTCACCTTTTGGAGTAGTAATCGTCAAAGATTCCTTCATCTTTTGGAGTAGTAATCGTCAAAGATTCCTTCATCTTTTGGAGTAGTAATCGTCAAAGATTCCTTCATCACCTTTTGGAGTAGTAATCGTCAAAGATCCCTTCATCTTTTGGAGTAGTAATCGTCAAAGATTCCTTCATCTTTTGGAGTAGTAATCGTCAAAGATTCCTTCATCACCTTTTGGAGTAGTAATCGTCAAAGATTCCTTCATCACCTTTTGGAGTAGTAATCGTCAAAGATTCCTTCATCACCTTTTGGAGTAGTAATCATCAAAGATTCCTTCACCTTTTGGAGTAGTAATCGTCAAAGATTCCTTCATCTTTTGGAGTAGTAATCGTCAAAGATTCATTCATCTTTTGGAGTAGTAATCGTCAAAGATTCCTTCATCTTTTGGAGTAGTAATCGTCAAAGATTCCTTCATCTTTTGGAGTAGTAATCGTCAAAGATTCCTTCACCTTTTGGAGTAGTAATCATCAAAGATTCCTTCATCACCTTTTGGAGTAGTAATCGTCAAAGGTTCCTTCATCACCTTTTGGAGTAGTAATCGTCAAAGATTCCTTCATCACCTTTTGGAGTAGTAATCATCAAAGGTTCCTTCATCACCTTTTGGAGTAGTAATCGTCAAAGATTCCTTCATCTTTTGGAGTAGTAATCGTCAAAGATTCCTTCATCACCTTTTGGAGTAGTAATCATCAAAGATTCCTTCATCGCTTTTTGGAGTAGTAATCATCAAAGATTCCTTCATCACCTTTTGGAGTAGTAATCGTCAAAGATTCCTTCATCTTTTGGAGTAATCGTCAAAGATTCCTTCATCACCTTTTGGAGTAGTAATCGTCAAAGATTCCTTCATCACCTTTTGGAGTAGTAATCGTCAAAGATTCCTTCATCACCTTTTGGAGTAGTAATCGTCAAAGGTTCCTTCATCATCCTTTTGGAGTAGTAATCGTCAAAGATTCCTTCATCACCTTTTGGAGTAGTAATCGTCAAAGATTCCTTCATCTTTTGGAGTAGTAATCGTCAAAGATTCCTTCATCTTTTGGAGTAGTAATCGTCAAAGATTCCTTCATCACCTTTTGGAGTAGTAATCGTCAAAGATTCCTTCATCACCTTTTGGAGTAGTAATCGTAAAAGATTCCTTCATCACCTTTTGGAGTAGTAATCGTCAAAGATTCCTTCACCTTTTGGAGTAGTAATCATCAAAGATTCCTTCATCGCCTTTTGGAGTAGTAATCGTCAAAGATTCCTTCATCTTTTGGAGTAGTAATCGTCAAAGATTCCTTCATCTTTTGGAGTAGTAATCGTCAAAGATTCCTTCATCTTTTGGAGTAGTAATCGTCAAAGATTCCTTCATCTTTTAGAGTAGTAATCGTCAAAGATTCCTTCATCACCTTTTGGAGTAGTAATCGTCAAAGATTCCTTCATCGCCTTTTGGAGTAGTAATCATCAAAGGTTCCTTCATCATCCTTTTGGAGTAGTAATCATCAAAGGTTCCTTCATCACCTTTTGGAGTAGCGTTCGTCAAAATTTCCTTCATCACCTGCTGGAAGTTACGACCACCAACAAGATAACGGACAATTGAAGCTCCTAAAAATCAGTCTTTCTCAAGAATGAAGACTCTCATCCTTGAAACCTCAGAAGATTGGTATACTCCCAATTTCTGACCCTTAACAGAATGAAGACTCTCATCCTTGAAACCTCAGAAGATTGGTATACTCCCAATTTCTGACCCTTAACAGAATGAAGACTCTCATCCTTGAAAACTCAGAAGATTGGTATACTCCCAATTTCTGACCCTTAACAGAATGAAGACTCTCATCCTTGAAACCTCAGAAGATTGGTATACTCCCAATTTCTGACCCTTAACAGAATGAAGACTCTCATCCTTGAAACCTCAGAAGATTGGTATACTCCCAATTTCTGACCCTTAACAGAATGAAGACTCCCATCCTTAAAACCCCAATAGATTGGCATACACCCAAGCTCCTGATATCCCCAACAGAATGAAGATTCTCATTCTCAAAGTGGTATATAACCTGAGTTCCTGATATTCCCGACAGAATGAAGATTCTCATTCCCAAAGTGGCAAACAACTTAAACTCCTAAACTTCTTCCAGACAAGAATAAACTTTATCCAGAATCCCGAGTTTTACTCTCCGACAGGATAGCTACTTTTCAACAGTATAGTTATTCCCCACATAATTCTTATTCCCCAAGCAGAATGAAGACTCTCATTCTCAATTCCTCACAGAGTATTCAGATATTCCCCAGTGAAGATCTCCTCAAAATAGGAATCCCCAGTAGATTGGCATACAACCCAAGCTCCTGATTCCCCAACAGTGGTCCCAGGACTTCTCATTTTCAACGATCAAAAGATTCTTGCAATCCCCTGCAGCAGTCAAGGGTTCACTTTCCCTGACAGCAGTCAAGATTCTATTATCTTCGGCTATCCAGGATTCATCTATCCTCAGCAAGACAGCTACTCAGCTTACATGCGCATCCATTACATTCATATCATAAACATTGATGAAGTACAATTCATTGCATCATACATTTCATGCAACATAACTTTGTGTTTCAGCTAATATTTTACCCTTTTCAGGATAAGATTAACAACTCTTGAAAATAGTTTACAGACGCTTCCCAACATGGATGCTGATCTATTGCTTATTCAATTTCAAGACTTCTGAAAATAGTTCACAAGTTCTCCAGATACGGATGTTAACCTATCGCTTGTTCAGATTCAAGACTTCTGAAAACAGTTTACGGGTTCTCCAGATACGGATGTTAATCTATCGCGTGTTCAGACTCAACTTTTGAAAACAATTTACGGACGCTTCCCAACATGGATGCTGATCTATTGCTTATTAAATTTCAAGACTTCTGAAAACAATTCACGGGTTCTCCAGATACGGATGTTAACCTATCGCTTGTTCAAATTCAAGACTTCTGAAAACAGTTTATGGGTTCTCCAGATACGGATGTTAATCTATCGCTTGTTCAGATTCAAGACTTCTGAAAATAGTTTAAGGATGCTTCCAAATACGGATGTCAATCTATTTCTTATTCAGACCCCCAGCTCAGAGATGTTCCAAACATGGATACCTTTCTGATACTCATTTCTTTCACCTACAACATACATTCTAGATGGCATCTCTAAGCCCATCCCCGACAAGATTCTGTCACATTCCAGATGGCATCTTTAGCCCATCTCCAAATGGCATCTTTAAGCCCATTCCCTCTACCATCACATCACCGAGTGCAAATTTCCGGGCACTCTAGTGTTCAATCATCTTTCACCTTCAAGTCACAAATGGCAGATTCGCCAATCTAACTCTTCAGGTGTAAGAAGATTGAACAGGGGCAACTGTTGTACCCCAAAATTTGCCCTCCCTTTTTCACAAGAAATCACAGCTTCGGGTTTTCCCTGATTTTTCAGTTTGGATCAGGGTTTGATCAAGCAGACGTTTCTTTGACAGTAAATCCAAAATTAGGGTTTACGCACGCATTCTCAAAAGGAATTGAGTCCACAACATTTCATTTGACTGTCACATGGTTTTGACGCTTGTTCAAGATTTCTATCTGTCTCTAAAAGTCTAAACATTTGGGATATGAGTTGAGACTTCTGATTGAAAGTTTGAAGTTTTAGTTTGATCAGTGAAGTAAAAGACGTACGGACGTTTGTTTGTTTGACTGTGCAATACATACAGTTAATTGGAACGTCGGGCTTATTGTTGGTTAATGCGAAGTTGCAAGACTACAGTGTTTATTAATTATTTATTTTATCTAAGTTAAAATAATTGGGATGCATTTCCAGTCGTTTTAATTCAACAGATTTAAATAAATAAATAAACAGTTTAAAGTAAAGAATTATCCGACAAAAGATTTTTTATTCATTTTCAATTGTTGTTACAAGTGTTATTTGAATACAGTAAATTTATTTACAGTGTTACAATAATGTTTATTACAATGATTAAAAATAAAATAAAACTATCCTAAATTTCTTGAAGTCTTCATCTTCTACTGTTGCTTCCTTTTCCCAACTGATATTTACCTGCAAAGACAGAAAAAGAAATCAGTACAGATGAATTAAATTGGAAAGGCATTTTCAGACAGTTAATCATAAAAGTTCATCATTAAAGGTTGTTGGCCGGAATCAGATTATTTTGGGTTTTCATCATATTTTGCTCATCCTCTTTGCAAAACACAAGAAAATTCCTCTTCTTGGTTCACAAAGAGGAAAGTAAAATTGTTTGCAAGCATGGAATTAATTAAATACAAGGCTGCATAATTTCAAACTGAAAATGCCAAACCAAATTGCAAACTGAACAAACAAGTTGCACAATGCGTAAAGGCAAACGAAACTGTCAACCAAACTAGGAAAACCAAACTGTCAAAGAAAGACAAAAGAAGTTGTCAAAGAAGCTGTCAAAAATTGTCAACAAGTACACAAAAAGCCAATGCAGAAAATCTGGAAGATAAGAGATATGCAGAGCAAAACCAAAATGCAAGCAATATTTCAAAATTTTCATCATTTCCCAGCCACAACCTTTTCAGAACAAAAGTACCATTAAGCAATTAAATATACTTTTCTGGAGAGAGAGAAAGAGAAAAAGTGAAGCAGGCTTACAGTTTTTGGGCAGGCTTAGAAGATAGATAAATATAACAAGATATCCAACAGTTCAGGGGGGGGCAGAACACATAGAAAAATATAACACAAAGCTGTAAACACATAACACAGCCTGTAGCCTCAAAACTGCCTTCAAGCTTACAAACTGCTTCAAGCATCAAGCCTGTACCAGTTAACAAACTTACAGAACCTTACCAAAACCTCCAAGCTTACAAACTGCTTCAGCCTGCCTAAAAAACCTGTCAAACTGCATAGCATCACAAGCCTGCCTCAAACCAGAAGTAAACCTTTAAGCTTGCCCAAGTAAACTTCAAACCTGTATCAAGGCTCAAACAAAACAAGCAAGTAAACTTTCAAGCCTGCTTCAAGCAAGCCTGTTACCAGCAAAACCTTCAAGCTAGCAGACTTTCAATCCTGCTAAAACCTCCTAACCTCCTAAAAACCTGTCAAAATGCACAAGCCTGCATACAAGCACAAGCTTGCATAACACCTCAAGCCTGCATAAGCCCTGAAGCCTGTCAAACACGAATCAAGCATAACAAACCTTGAAGCCAGTTTCAAACCTGCAGAAACCAACAAGCCTGTACCAGTTACAAAAAACAGAAAAAAATCTCCCAAACTTGCCTCAAGCCTGTCAAACACAAGCAAGCCAAGCACAATAAACCTGAAAAAACTCAGCATTCAAGCCTGTCAAAACTGTACCATACAAACCTGCCTCAAGCCTGTCAAAAACTATACAAACATTCAACCTGCCTTCAAGATCAAATAACCAAACTCAAAGCAATCCCAAATATCAAAACAACACAGACAAGTGCCTCAGAGCAAAAGTTCATCATTGAGAATCACAAAATCCAAAGAAAGCATCTCATAACAGAATAAACCAAATCAGAAGAAGAAAAGAAGATTCAGAAGTGTTTTCAGAAAGCTATCATCACTAAACATTCGAAGCAAATATACAAATACCAGAACAAAGCTTTCCTCAGCGTCTCGCTCCCTCGCCCGGCCGCCTGAGAAGCGCCTCCATTCCAATCCTCCGCCTCCTCCCAAAGCAAAAACCCTAAGGTATCAATTCCTCTTCCTTTTTTCTCTACATCTCATAATCCAAACACAAATAACACAAAGATTAATAGCATGCAAGAGTAAAAAATCTGAAAACCCTAAAACGCGATAGAACGATGATACGTTGTTGAAACATCACATTGTACGAACACGGGAAGGGAAAATGGATGGTGGCGATCTGGCAGCTGGAGGGTTGAAGACATCAGAAGCCATGGTTGAGAAGGATGAAGAGGCGAAGAAGAAGAAGGGAGCGGCGCCGTTTGTAAGCTGTGTAACCCTATTCTGAGCCAAACCATTTGAAACCCTAACAAACTTTGTCAAACGCGTTTGGGCCTGCTCCACGCAAGAAACCCCTAAGCCCAATACAAACTGGCGCCTTACCCCCTTTTTTCTTCCTTATCTTTTTTTTTATTTTGTTTACTTGGGCCAAGAACGTCCTTTAAAGCCCACCTCTTTTTTATTATTATGTTTTTGAAAATATTTCTTTTTATATTACTAATATTTTTCATAACTTTTTTTTATAAGTAAAAACAATAATATACTAACTTTTTGTGTAGAATTTTATTAATGTTTTCATTACCTTAAAAACACCAAAAAAACATAAAAATAGATTTTATTAAGTTAAATGTTTTTTCTCTTTAAAACCCTTTTTTTATATAACATTAACAAAAAACACAAAAATAATAATAATACTTAATAAATACATTAGGTTAACATTTTGATTACTTGTAAATAATCATGTGCATCATACTTTGCTTTTGATTCCTTTTTATTCTTACATTTTACATTGAGAATGCGACGATTCGATTTGGTTGTAAATAATATTTGGACACTACTATCCTGATAAGACTCATCCCCATTTGTAAACATTTGTACCCCCATCCCCGGATACTTATTTGTAATAGCTTAGACTTTAAATTCCCGCAATTTATCGCTTTCCATATACTGTATAGTAATTAGGGTTTGTATGCGAAGATTCAAAATCAACCGCTAGATAACCTAAGACAAAGACAAATGCATGAAAAAACAAACACAATTCACACTTGCACCTCTAGGGTAACCTCTCTTGTTGCCTCGGAATAATGCAATCATGTCCCTCGAGTATGAGACACTCTAGAAAATGTCCCTTCAATAAACAAAGATCGTAGTCCCTCGATGACCCTCGATGTTGCCTTCGATAAAACGATCTCGCCCCTTACAAAAATTGCTAGAGCGTCTCATAAGTTGCCTTCAATGATTGTATATGATGACCCGCGCCCGTCCTGTTAACATCCTAACACAAGGTTGTTCACCAAATACAATGGTGAAACAGCACTGTTAAAAGGGTTAAAAAGCATAAAAAGGATCTTTGAGTAAAATAGGGTAGATAGCTTAGTTACTTGATCAAACTTGCAAAACACACTTGCCATTTTCAAACACACACCACAACACAACTTCCAAACAACTTTCAAAAACATTGAAACATCTTTTCAAAAAGACAAACACCTTTGTATATACTCAAACATGAGTCAATACAAAGGTTGCCTAGACAAGGCATCTTTTTCAAAACATTTTCAAAAAACCACACACACAAAGCACCATTTCAAACAATTGAAAAGCAAAGGCAAGTGATCTAAAACAAGTAACTAAGAGCCCATGGATAACCATGGATGAAAAGGGTGCTAGCACCTTCCCTTTTCATAATATACCCCCCGAATCCACGAAAACATCTCAAAGGTCTTTCCTGTGCTTTTTGACCTTTCCTTAGGATAAATAAAAAGTCGATGGCGACTCTTGCTAAACCGAACATTTGCGAAAACAAACGCAAAACCTCAAGTCAGTTCTCCCACCGTATCACACTAAGCCATTGGATTGACTAGACTTTATACAAATCAAAATAAAAATCGCCACCGCGCTTTATTGTTTCCAAAGGAATGGGAAAAGAGCGAATAACCCAAAAAAGAGGGGGAAAGATTCAAGGTAAGGGGGTTGGTTATGCAAAGGGAAGGTATTAGCACCCTAAACATCTACGGTACTCCGCAGGAACCTCTTTGAAAAAATCTGTATATTTTGGCTATAAAAATGTGTTGTATATAAAATGGATGGTGGAGGTGAGAAAAGAAATATTTTTATGATTTTTGCACCCGTCGCGATTGCAAACCTTTAGTGCCTACGTACCACCTTTCATGCAATAGGGGATCAGGGTACACGTAGTTCCTCTTTTAAAAATTTGAAACACATGTGTGTTGGTTGATTTTATGAGATAAGGCATCATTGCAATTGTCCGTGTGAAAAACATACTTACTACCCACATTCATGAGAAAGGAGAATTTGCATCATCTCAAAGTGGAGGATATGACTTGGATTTTAAAATCAACAATGCCTCACTCAACACCCGAGTGGAAAATATCTCACTTCACTACATATTGTAGAAGTATAGTTGTTTGCACCACTACAAGGATTGACAAGAGTCTAATCTTTTGAGAAAAGTTTAAAGATAAAAGCCAAAGTGGCAAAATGGTTTGAAATGAGATTGATTGACTTTAGTCTTCTCGCAAAAAAAGGTCAAGGTATTATTAAATTGATTGAAATTTATTTATGAAAATGTTTCGAAGATGCATGGACCTAAGTCCAAGTTTATTATGAAAATGTTTCAAGTTTCAAAACAAGAAGAGTTTTTTTTTAAAGGAGGGAGAAGATTTTTGAAATTAAAGAAGATGGGAGGAGAAGAAGAGGCTATCCTAAAGCATAAGGTAAAAGCTAGGGATAAGAACCATCTAACCAACAAGAAGCCAATACTTGACATTATGAGTCAATGTAGAATTCCCATTCTTTGGATTGAAACCAAGCAAGGAAAGATACTAGACCTCTTGAGAGAACCAAACTTCAAGTGTTTTAAGTCTTCGCAAAAATTGGGCAGAGTAACGGCTGTATACTGGTGAATTCCAGATTACAAACAAAGATCGTAATCTCAATAACCTGCATACAAAACAAACAAACAACCCAATTTCTTGAGGTAAACCTCAAGAACTCTAGACAAAATATCAAATAAAGTCACAAAGTCTCCAAGATAGGCCAAGGTCTCTAATCCTAAGTCCAAGAGGTCCATCACTCCATAATGCAAAGGGTAGTAACCATGTAGTCCAAGTATCATTAATGATTTTTATGGTTCATGTTGATTATTAGGTGTCTTTAAAAAGAAAGAAAAGCTCAAGTGAGCAAAATAAAAATGACATAAAAGTAAATGCTCAAGTGAGCAAAGAAAATAGCATGAAATGTAAAATGCTAAAAGTAAAAGGTACATAAAGCATGAAAATAAAAGCGTAAAGTAAAGTTAATTGTTAGTAATTAGTGGTTAGTTGGATGACCATCTTGAAACTTGCATTTGGAACTCATTAGGGGATTGGTAGAATCAAAGTCTCTACACAACAAGTTTCATTTGCTTTTTGTCAAGTATATCATCCATTTTGGAATTCTCACAAGGCAACATGTAATGATCAACGATGTTTAAGTGATCTGCGTTGACCAAAGGTGTTGTAGATCCATTAGAGGATTGGTAGAACCAAAGCCTCCACACAATGAATCTCAAGGTTATTGGATCAAAGAGATCAAATTAACATACTTGGGCTTGCAATCATAAGTTTGGGCCACGAATGATCATTTATTCGAATCGGGACAAAATTTAGCGCTATGTTAAGCAATCGTAAGTGGACTTATGTAGAAGCCACACCTATTTTGAGGCCGGTCAATAGCAATTTATGTACTTCATGTTTGGATAAATGATATAGAGATCACCATCCCTTAACATGTAGCACAATTAAAAAAGAAAGGGATAAGATGAAGAGGGAGGGGAATGATAAGCTAATTTGGATCACCATTTCAAAATTATTTCATCTTTAAATTCAACTACTCCTCTAGATGTATTAAAGCATTAAACATATCATTAATCCAAAGCACCAAAAATGAATTAAATAATTCACTCTTAGGTAGATTTGAATTAATGAACATTTATCCAACTTCATCTACATCACAAAGTCCATTGAGTTTAAAGACAAACTGGACATTTAAAATTGCAATCCAAACCAACAATCAAAAGGAGTGAGTAGAAAAAGCATTTTGGATCAAAGCTGCCCCAAAACAAGGCAAAAAATGCATTATGTCCTGGTGTAAATCGATTTACACTACTATGTAAATCGATTTACACAGTATAGTTTTCAAAAATTCGCGTGAAATTGCTTTTGTGAAATCGATTTACACTTAGTGCAAATCGATTGCACACAGTAACAATAGCAAAAATAGCATTTTAAAAGGGCAATTTCTTGTTCAAACTTTCCATCAAACACCTTATGATCATGGATCCACTTGAGCATGAAAATTCCATCAAATTATGAGAAAATAACACCATTGAAATCACAAAATAATGCTCAAAGAATCAATCCCAAAGACCACCAAGAGATCACATTGTGAAAGATGAATTATCCAACTTACCAAAGGTAGATCTAGAGAATTATCAAAACAACTTCAAGAATTTGCTTCAATTCAACCACAAGAATCAATTGACCAAGCTTGGATGTAGAGAATTGATGGAGAAAAAGTGTTTGGATGAAGGTTTAGCTCAAAGATTAGTAAGCTTCAATGCAAAG